CCTTACAGCCTCTTTCAACACAGGTGCAGGCCACCAGGATACTGAGCCTCATTAGGATGAACTCCTAATGCCATGAAAATGGCTCACCCCTGGAGTTGAGCAGTGCACAACCCACACAACCAAGCCAGCCAGTCTTACGTAGAATGATCTGAAGAGCAGCCTTTGGACTTGAACAAACCTGGACTCCAGACCTGGTATAAGCCCAAGTCATATACCCTGGCTCTGGTTATTTAAGTTTCTACGAGAGGATATGTTAAAGGGGTAAACCCCTGGGACCTAGTTCAGTATCTGGCACAGTGGTTCTGGAAAAAATGCATTAAATAAATGCAAAATGAGCTAATATCTACCTTATAAGATGGCAGTGAAGTAAAAAGGAATTAATCCACATAAAGCTTTTAACATCCAGTCCAAAACACTCGCAGAGTGAACATCAAATCAGTATCTACAAAATCTGACAGACTGGAAATATTAAGCTTCTTCAGGGCAGAGATGCATGCTGGGAAGGAATTCTGCTTAAACTAAGGTTTAAATAATAGTAAACTATTCAGATAATGAGGGCAAACTCCCAGATTTGTAAAATACCCAGCTATAGGACAGCTGTAGCAGGCTAGGGATAATTCTTGATGCTGGAGCGTACATTTGGAACAAAGAAAAAGTAGAAACATTTTTGCTGCCCAAATTTTCAACAAAACAAAATTTAAAGAGGGAAAAAAAATCAGGAAATGCATACATTTGACCATCTCCAGTTGCAGGGTAGCAATGGGCAAGAAAGAATTAAATATTCTAAAACCTGATCTTGCCTGGGTTCAATCTTAGCATGGGGGGGTAGTGGCAGTTGGCGGGGGGCATATGCTTTGTATCTTCCTCGTGCTTACTTCCTGGTGAAACTGGGCTTTTGATGGTGCCATGACAACTCTTCACCTTGATTAAAGCCGAACAATGGAGCAGGTCACCTTTGGGTTGGAAGCACAGTCCCCGGGCAGATTCCAAAACAAGAAACCCACTGCTGCTAACTCAATTTGGACTCCTGGCGACCCCGTGTGTTGCAGAGTAGAACAGCTCTATGGGGCTTGCTTTCCTGTAATCTTTATCCGTGCACATCTATGGCCTGTCTTCCGTGGCACCGTGGGGCGGGGGGAAGGGGGCGCGGTTCGCCTACCAACTGTTAGTCTTTTAGACATAACATCCCGCTTGTGCCACCCAGGGGCTCCCGTCCCCTCCCCTTGTCCTCTGGTCTCACTGCCCACCTCCAGGCAGGAAGCTGCTGCGGAGTCACTTCCTCCAGAGGTGACCGATAACAAAAGCCAGCAAAAGTACATTCTGGGAGGGAGGTATTGCTGAGCCCCCTACGTGAGGTCACACCAGTTAGCAGTTAGAAAAGGAGGCATTTCTCACACTTACTAAAGAGTTTGACGCTTGTGAAACATAAACAGGAAGTGGGAGCTCTCCAGAGCCACCTGAAGGAAATACACACTCCCAGCTTGGTCAACGTGTCAATCCCAGTTTTCTAGTTCATCAAGAACACTGCCAATTCATACTGCCCCCCCCCAAAAAAAAAAAAAAACAACACCCACGGTACCACCAGTGACCGTCTTCTGTTTTTAAAAATCAACCCTCTGCACAGCCAGGTCACTCGGCAGCGCAGCGAGGTGACTGACCGCAGGTGGCAAAGGCTGTCACAGTCATCTCTCAACTCCCCGGAACTTGCAGGGCCAGGGAGCTTGGGGGTCAGTGAAATCCCCAGGCAGGCCTTATTTTAGTCACGAATTTCCACTGGCTCCTTCCTTTGCCTCAGCGCGGCTCCCCAGCCTGGCTGGTGTTTCCGTTTGCCCTGCTCCAGGCTGCACTAGAAGGTCACAGAGACCAGACTTCGCTGGGGCGGCGGGGAGGGGGTGAGCTGGGAGGGCATGGAGGTTGTCACCGGACTCCTGCAAGACTGAACCCGGGGTGAGGTTGCAAGAATCTGGGGCCAAATGAGGAGCTGATGCCAGGGGCGTAGGTGGAGAGCAAATGTTTTGAGAATGATAAGGGCAATGCATGTACAAATGTGCTTTCACAATTGATGTCTGTACAGATTGTGATAAGAGTTGTATGAGCTCCCAATAAAATGATTTTAAAAAAAGAAGAAGAATCTGGGGCCATTGGAGACCTTTGTACGCCAGGGTCCAGAAAAAAAAACCCTTCTCTACTCTGGCCTCTAGGCTCATATTCACCAACCAGGAAACCTGCTTGGTTTTTCCTCAGTCGACCAGTGGCCCCAGTATCGTTTTCCCCAGGTGGCTTTCCTGTCGTTGCCCGCTTCCCAGAGGCTTCTGTAAATTCAAGGGCAGGCTCGATCCGCCCCGTGTCCCCGGCAGCGAGCACAACGCCTGGCAGAGTTGGGAACTCCTTAAACGTGCACATACCGTAGGAATACCAGGGCTCTCGCTTTCCTCCAGCCTTGGATGCCCACCGAAAACAGCTGTCACCCAAGTC